AGATCCTTGCAGGTCTTCTCTCATGGACTCCCTACCTCTTCTTAGCTCTCAGTCAGATTTTCCAAGCGCCTCCTCTCATGCTTGCTTCGTCCCAGAAAGCTCATCACGACTGCCCAGCCCAAGATTTCTTCTTTTTCTCTTCTTGGTCTCTTCCTCAAGTTGGACAGGCCTGAAAAGACGAGATTTCAGAAATGAAGACCTTCCTCTTCCCCAATATGTCTCTCTCTCCCTCCTCCTCACTCCCTCCAGCCCCCTTCTCTCCTGGTCCCCTCTCCCCTTCCCACCTCTTCCTCCCTCCCCTCCCCTCCTGCCTCTCCCTTTCCCCAGCATCATCCACTTCCCACCAGCCCCTGCCCCCTACCCACTCTGCATCCCTTGCCTGACTTCTTTGCCTGGCTTCTCCTTCCTCACCCCCTCTTCCGTCGTTCCCTCCCTCTTTCCTTCCCCTGCTCGCCTGTAACCTCCACAGAGGGCTGTCTCTCCCTTCCTGCCTCTCTCATTCTTTCCTTCCCCCTTCCTGTGTGTGTGTGTGTGTGTGTGTGTGTGTGTGTGTGTGTGTGTGTGTGTACAGGAGTAGGCCAGGGGTAGACATGGGATTTCTTCCTTTATTGCTGTCCACCTTATTTTTTGAGGCAGGGAACCTGGGGAATCTTCCTGTTTCTACTTCCTATCACTGGAATAACATCACAGACAGACACACACACACACACACACACACACACCACACACACACACACACACACACACACACACACACAGCGCCTGGCTTCTACATGGGTCCAAGAGATCCAAACTTGAGTTTCTGTGCTTGCACAGTAAGCCATCTTCAAGCCTCCTTCCTTCCCCTCTCCCTCTTCTCTTTTGCCTTAATCTTCTCCCTTCATCATGTCATCCCATCCTCTCCTGCTATCTCCCCTGGACTATCCTCCCACCGTCTCCATCTCTCTAACGTACCCCTGCCTACCTCAGCTCTTCCTCTCTTTCCTCCCTCCCATCTGTCTCCAAGCTCCTCATCTTTTCTGTCTTTCCCCCTTTCCTCTCCCACTACTTTTTCCCTCCTTTCTAATTCCTTCCCTCCTCTAACTAGCTCCCTCCTTCTCTCCCTGTTTTTTCTCTCCTCCTCTTTGCTTTCCAGTTTCCTCGTTCCTCCATCCTCCTCCATCATCCCCTTTCTTGACATTTTAAAAATAAAACTACCTCTGTTTCCTGCCCCCCC